TGAATTGGTTTAAGAGGAAATGGGGCAGAGATTGGCTCATGTTTCTGAAAAGTTCAGGGAATGGGTTTCAAGAGTGGCTTGATCCAGGAACTCGAGACTGAGCAGAGGGGAGTCTCTCCCCAGCCTCAGCCAGTACTTTCACTCACGCTGACTTTAAGAATCCCCTCTCTGAGGGGTAAATATCCACCAGAAGCAGCTGGTCAGCATCTTATGAAGTCCCATGGTGAGCACATCCTTAAAGGTGGGTCCCTTTCTGTCCAATTCCCAGGACAGTGTTGTTGGATGTGCTCAGATCCCTCCCTCCCTCAGTCTGGCTCCTGTTCTGGGAAGCCTCTGCCCTGAGGGACCCATGGACAGGGCTGGGCAGGGCGGGCCCCTGAGGAGCAGGGAGTTTCTGCCAGAGGCACGGCCTGTGCCAGGCGTGGAGGCTGAACTCATGGTCTGGCCTAGCTGGAGGCCAGAGTGTGTGGGAGAGGGTTGTGAGATGCAGCCAGAGGGGACAAGCAAGGGCCTGCAGGCTGTGGCCAGGCTCAGGAGCTGGCACCTGTCCCGGGAGGGTGAGCCAGGTGGCCAAGGGAACGGAGTCCCAGCCTCCCATCGGTGACACGGAGAGCATAGCACAGACCTCAGCAGAGGTGAGGGGACCAGGGGGAGAGTCCCAGGGAGGACCGAGGCTCCACACTAACCACCTTGGGCTCTGGAGAGCACCTGGGGTGGGCGGCAGGGCGGGGCCGAGACAGGTGGGCAGAGGGGCATGTCGGCTCAGGTCCCGGGAGGTGGGGAGACCCTGGCATGCACGGGTGGGCGACACAGGACGGCGGAGAGAGACTTCCCTGGCACTTGGCTAGGAATTGGACGTGGGGAGAGGGAAGGATCCAGGATAAAAATAAACAGGAAGTCAGAAGTCTACCCTTGACCTTGGATCCCTCCACGTTTTACTTTTGAACAAACAAAATTTCTCAAAAAAAAAGAAAAAATCCTATGTTTCTTTCCTTCCTTCTTCAAATTCCTCAAAAATATCCTGAGACCGTTTGATTCTCGGTGTGGAAATCTGTGTGTCTTCTGTTTTGTTTTTCCCTTTTAGTCTGAGCACAGCATGGGGACATGCTCTGAATGTCCCCTGCTCCTGGGGCCTCCTGGGGCCCACCGACCTGTCCCCGTCCCTCACCCCCAGGTCCCTCCAGCTTCCTGGGCCGTCCGGGCCTTGGATGTGGGTGTGGGGCTTCTTCCGATGGATTGGAAGCCGCTTCATTCGCTGTGACGATTCTA